CCAAACCCCGCTGCGATGGCAAACCCCGCTGCGATGGCAAACCCCGCTGCGATGGCAAACCCCGCTGCGATGGCAAACCCCGCTGCGATGGCAAACCCCGCTGCGATGGCAAACCCCGCTGCGATGGCAAACCCCGCTGCGATGGCAAACCCCGCTGCGATGGCAAACCCCGCTGCGATGGCAAACCCCGCTGCGATGGCTCACTCCAAAGGCCGGGGCTCCTCTGGGGGAGAAGCCGCCGTTCCTCACGGCCACAGCCACCTCTCCCCCCGCGCCCTCCCCACTGTTGCCAGCACGTGCTTTTAAAACAACCCATTTTCTTGCAGACTAGTCCCTTACCTCCGCTGGATCACCAGTCCACATGGCTGCATGGTCTGGGAGAGTTACACAAGTAGGGAGTGGAAGACCACCGAACGATTCATGTAACACCAAGACATGGTATTAAACCACAGAAGAGGGCTGCTCTAAGGCAGCCAGCATTGAAAATAGGCAGATAGGCTGGAAAAATGCACCAGAATCTTTTTATTTAAATAACAAGGACTTAAAAATTCTCATTTTTAATACAAGTTAAATAAAATACAATGTAAATACCAGCTTTTGTATTTTTGCTTGTCTACATACAGCTTATTTAGAAACCTGGATATACTTTACAGCTTAAACAGTGACACCTGATTCAAACTGCCTGATCTGTGCCTTCAAAAGCAATAGTTGTATAAAATACTGTGATATCCAAAAAAAAAGCCAGTATACTGTACAAAAAAAATATTTTTACAGTAATTTGATATCTAAAAATCAGATTAGCTGCATCTGAAATTCATGGTAAATTGTCTTCTCTCAAGAGGAACTGATGGATAAATTGCTGAGCTTTTCTCTTTTCAGTTATATCAGGTGTAGGATGTCCAGGAGGAGGTCGAAGTAACAAGCCACCAAATATACTAGCTGCATTGAAAAAAAAAAAAAAAAAAGCCACAGAGACACACAGTAAGAGCCTGTCAGCAGCAGGACATCCAGGGTAATTCCACCAACCCGCAGCAGTCAAACCGAGAGAGTGCCTGGCTTCAGAATGGGGCGAGATAAAGCTGGTGACCCACGCATCTCTGAGTCAATTTACAGCTTTTTTCAGGGTACTGCAATGACTGTTGTTCTATGGACCGTTTGCTCATTATTAAATGCTTCAAAATAGCAGAGGCCATGACTGCACTCACTTGAGAAATGTGTTTTGTTACACAAACTGCAAAGCCCCTCTGAACAGAATGGTTATTTTGCTCGCCTTACCAAGAATATTCGCATCCAAATGGTTTTTCCCTGAATTTTTCAGTAGTTCTCGTAGAAATGCCATTAGATATTGAAATACATTTTTATGGCACCCTGGCAGGTTAGAGATAATCTGAGGAGGGAAAAAAAACCCCAACATTTATATTGAAGACATGGCAATGGCTTAGCAGCTTTTTTTACTACCATCACCCTGCCTGCAAAACCTAATGGCTCTTAACAACCACGAAACACTAGTTCTACATCCTTTCTATTATCAAATGATTAAGTTTCTGAGAGCAAAAACCTGATACTGGTCTGGCATAAAACAGTTTGCCTCCCCTCCCTCCGGAATTACAGAACCCCTCTCACAGCGAAGCCAGCAATACCTGGCTGCTCAGCGGGTAGTTGTTCGCACTCTCCAAACAACTGCTGTAGAACCTGTAGCAGATGACAGGCTCCGGCAGGCTTTCCAGGAAGAGCAGCAGGGCTTCTGCTACCGAGTGGTTGCTGCCAACTGATGCAAAGACAGTTAAGGAAGAGGCAAGCACAGCATGATTTATTTTGGTCATATTTCTGTGGAAACATTAATCTTTGCTTAGGTCTCCAAGATCTCCTCCTATTGTTCACAGCTTTGAGTTAAATCACTTGACTCCGCATAGCAAGTTGTTTCCACTGGCAGTCAGACACTTACGTCTGATCAACACTGATCAACAATTATTCATCAATACCGCAAGGACTTAGCAGAGGCATTCGTACTGGTTACAAGGAGTAGTGAGGAACTAGGAACTGCAGATCTCCGTTACCCTGAGATGAGAGGCGGTAATTTAAAAGCCATGGTGGAGCATAGAAGACTGAAAAATCTCATTCAGCTTTGATCTCTAAGGCATAGTGAGCCTTACCGGACACCAGTCTAAAAGGATACGGAGGGTATCATGCATTCCTTTGTCCAAACAATCTCGGATTTGCTCAAATTCAGATCTGAGGCCTGGTTGCTGAAACAGGTCTTCCTGCAAAGCAGACCATCACTCAGTCTCAAGGAAAATAAAAAGTTATTTGGGTAAACAAAGCAATGTCATTATAACATGGCTGGAAAAATCTCTCCAAATTTGTAGTTATCAGCGCAAATCCCACCACGAGCAGCTCTAGTAAGGCCATGGCACTGCAGTAGAGAGCAACACAGGACAGACGCCAATGCATGCCACACACAGAGAAGGCCACCATCACGAAACGGTGCTACCCAGGGTACCAGGATCACTTAGCACAGATGTCCTTTATCTCTTTTTACCATTGGCCAAACATCCACAGTTAGCAATGATTGCCATTACCAGTATCGTCTTCAAAACCAAACCTAACACAAACAAATTATCTTGTGTTTCCAGTTCAAAGACTGCCAACCTGCTGAGAAGCGTTGCGGAACAAGTGATCCACCATCATCCACAGCTCTTTTGGAATGTCCATAGGCTTTTCAGCTTGAACAACATCATCACTCATTTCTAGTGGCATCAGGGTCTGAGACAGGGAGGTGTTGGGAAAGAAAAAAAAAAAGAAAAAGTAGCTAGCCAAGTTTTTATTCAACTCTGCAAAAATGATTCACAGAGCTTATACCTGAGAATTAAGACTTGAGAAACTGTGCAGCTCCACTCACCAGTCTTCATACAAGACTAGTATAACTGGCACGATTATATCAAAAGTCCTGACAGAAGAAACAAGCTGCTCTCAAACACGCTTCATGTAGACTCAGCTCTACGGAAATGTTACATCACGGTTCACGCACACGGTTCTCCATTCGATATGGAGAAAGCCAAGGGCTCCAGGGAAAAGGTCTACATTTAGAAGTTGCACACCTTTCTTAAATGTGCAGGCAGAACAAATGGGATCTTATTGACAATGCTCTCTATATGAAATGGGTTGGTTCATCCATGCAAAGAACTAATGCAAGGTGTGAAGATGGACCACTGGAGAGCACAAACTGTATCAGCATTCTCAGACTACTGACCAGGGAAGTGGAAGAAGGCTCTTTAGCAATAAGCAGGACTTAACATCTAGTTTTAATGGTTCTCACATGTACTGAAGGGAATTTTGTCTTTAACTCACAAGTGTCTGAATGGATTCTGCTGACATGTCCTGGATCGGTTCCCTCATGTAACACAGCGTATGAATGGGAGACCCAAAGCAACTTGGCAAGTAGTTGCCTGTTACAGATAGAAAATAATCCTTCCCCTTGTTAAGATGCAAGACCAAGATATCTTCAAGTTTTTCTTCTCCAGAGTTCAAGTGTGTAGCTGTTGATTTATTAACAAACACCTCCAACTCAATTGTGATCTTGGCATCTGCCAAAAGATGATAAAAAACCCCCCATACTCAGTTAAAAGAAGGTATTAAACCAATGAGCCTGCAAACAGGCATAGCATTCTCAAAATAGGAGAGAGAACTAAGGCAGAAGGTGACAATTTTAGCTCATTAACATGAGACAAACAATGAGGAGCTCACCTGATAGCAGAAAGCCCTTACTGGGATTAGCAATCAACCACTCCTTGCAGTAGGTTTCCTCATCTGGTTTGCTGATAAATTCGAAATGGCAGGGCACTTGTCCATTGCAGATTGTAAACTTCTCTACCTGCAGCTGCATGTATTTAACATCCTCAAAGTGGAACTAGAAACAAATGTCAGTCAACATCAGCAGCCAATTCCACCTTGCCAAGCACCCACAGCAATTCCTGTCCTGTGGTTTAATCATTAAGCAGCATGATACCCAGGTTAACCCTCTTGCTCCCGCACCCCGTCTCTTCCAGGATGACATAGGATTACATTTGCGTACTCTGTATGCTAAAGTTTTTGCATCAGTGGGCCCTTTAAAACAAATGCTCCCCTCAAATAACCTCAATGAAACTTGAGAGCAAGATAGCGGTAGCCTCAAATGTCTCATTTGCTTATCTTTTTTAGTGCCCAACACACAAAGCAAATGCTGGTTTTGTGACCGTCTCCAAACCCTTCAGATTTTACATTTTGTGTTTCAAACAATTCAGAGCAAGGGCCACAAACCGCCCTCGCACTCTCTCTCCCCCCACCTCAGGGAGTAGCACACCCTATGTCCCAGCCTGGTACTGGGAATGGAATTTACCTATATCTAGACAGAAACAACTATTTCTAAACAGAGAACAGCTGGAAGTCAAAATATTCTACTTCTTTGGAACCAGAGCCCGCGGTCTAGAATCCATCTAATATACTTCTACCAGTGGAATACACTTCTGGGGTGTAGGGTGGCTCAGTGTCTCCAGCGGGTCACATCACATGAACATACCCTACCTCTCTCCGGGAGAGGGTCACCGAGGGAATGTTGGCGTTCTCCAGCTTATCCAGGGAGCGGACTATTTCCTCAAAGGCTTTTCGATAGAGGTCCTCATTCACAACCTTCACCTGAAAAGGACACACACTGCACCAACTGGCATTTACTGTGCCTCTGCAGGAGAGCTGTAACACAGCTGGAAACGTACAAAGTGATTGGATTTTAGCAGCACATCAGCGGATACAACACATGTAATGAGCAGAATCCCTTGGAGCCCTCTCCTCAGGATCCAACAGGAAAGCACCTTGCCATAACTAGCAAGAGTCACCCAATCAGTACTAGATCAGTGGGGTTTCTTCTTAAAAAAAAAAAAAAAAAAGTTTGGTAACACATTACTGTGTTGTCAGTGATGTAGCATTCCCACACTGTGAGTTTCTGTGAAAATTATTAGGAAAATAAGAAAAAAGGCAAAAGAACACTGCTGAAAAAAAAAAAAAAAACCACCTACAGATACTCATGCATTATTCTGCTTAACTGGAGTATCACGTAACAGAACCCTAGCTTACTATGAACAACAGTCCTATCTCGGTATCTTATCCAGCCCACCTTTTAAGCCATTGTTCTCTGTGGATGCCGTAAAGCAGGAGGAGAGGGAAATCAGCAGGAGAACCTCCCTCCTCCTCTTCCTCCTCCCCCCTCTCCCCACACAGAGGACAAGGTCAGCAGTTATTTCCTTCAGCACTGACGTACTTACCCCAATATCAAACACAGAGCTAACTGGCTTATGATCACTGATCTTCAAAGCCATATGGCTGCGATAGCTCAGCTGAGCAATGTTCTGCCCCTTCCAGAGTATCCGATCACACCATGCTGGAACACGACACTTCTCACTACAACAGAGGGGAAAATTCCAGTTTCCAGGCACAGTTCAGGCGGAGTAACAACGCAAGACAGAATACTGCCCTCCCAAGAGACTCTTTTCCTGACATGGCCTGGAGCTAGTTCTCTATCGACGTTCTATTTTCCACAGTTCCTTTGAGTAGTTATAAAAAGTCTGACTGTTTAGTGTTAGGTTCTCTCTGTCTCATGCTTCACTTTCTGTGAATCTTCTTCAAAGATGCAATTATTTGTTTTGTTCTTTTGATACAATTAACATACTTTTGACCATAAGAACCATGAAAAATAAGAACTCAAGCTCCACATTTAAAGTTCACATTTTAATTACTTTTTTTTTTTTTCCCACTGACTGTTCAGATTTCACTGCAGCACTTGAAGCCACTGTTCCCAGCTTACTAAGAACAGGTCAGCCACTCTGTGTAGCGCATTACAGGAATAACAGCTCTTGCAGCCTTTTGGAGAATGCAGTCAGCTTCAGACAGCACCAACGCACCATTTCGAACCCTAGCTGCTCTGACCTGAGCAGATACAGCAGATATCAGCAAATAAAAGATCCTAAAATTTTGCTTGGGGAAAAAAAAAAAACAGAACAAACGAAACCGAAAGAATAAAACTGACTCAAATGATTCCTCAGTTTTGTACGCGTCTAACTAAGAGGAAACCCAGTGGATTCTGGGAAAAAAAGATTAGGAATATCTGACAAATAGCAGTGGAGGAAAAGCAACATAAATAAATGTAAGCTGGAGATGGATTCTGGAGCCAAGGGAGAGGGAACAGCAACAAGCTCAGGACTGTTCCTATTTATAGCCATTAGATCTTCAGTTCTTCTTAGCTTTGTTTTTATTTCCCTCAATGACAACATTAGCCATTGGTAGCATCCCACGTGAGACAATCACCGTACCTTGTGTCCCAGTCATCACAGCCAGCATCATATTTGTATGTTGGCTGGAAGGAAATCTCTCCCTCTGTAAAGCCTTCAAAGACTGCGTTTGCATTCATTTGCCTCTTTAGCTACGAAAGAAAAAAAAGACAAATTTAATTTTAAATAAGCTCAAGCACAACTCCCATATGATCTCAAGGGAGATGTTTGGCACTGAGAAGGCTCAGGAGTACGTGTGCAGTTTCTAACTGGCACCCTCAGCACCACCTGCAGGTAGGTGAGACATCAGTACCTGGTCATACTGGCAAAGCTCTAGAAATGCTTTCTCATCTACAAGCTGCTTCACTTTTGCCACTTCCAGTTCCTCCAGCCGATAGTTGAGGTCACCCAACCATAAGATCACGCTGAAAGAGAATGCACACCAGAAGTCTGCACAGAGGCCTGAAGAAGTCCACAACACAAGCTGGCCGTGAGCTGCAGGCACAGCTCCGCAGCAGCGCCTTAAACCATCTAATGCAAGTATGCGCTCTTCTAATCTCAACATGATCAGGTGGACGCTGTGTCTGCCTCTCCAGAGAGAGCAAGTAAGAGTGAAAACTTGAAAGAGAAGCTACACTTTCTGCCTTTGCTGGTTTTAATTCCTGTTCTCCATGTTTGTCACTACTTCTTAATAACTGGGGCTTTAAATATTTCACACTGACTAAATCCCACAAGCCACTGGGGAAATCGATGCATATTATTGCCCCATTCCCACTTCATGCTTGAAAATAAAACAAGGCCTAGAAGAGCATAAGAAGGCAAGTGACTTGTCAGAATTGTATAGGGGACCGCTCTCAAAACCAGGGTTATGGTAAAGCATTTCTGGCCCTTCCAGACTGACAACGAGATCGCTGGGCACCCCTTCCCACATCCCTGCTGAGAACATCACACCCCAGTACGTTCACAGGGTTCTTCCTTGCCACAAGCAGCGATTCACACAGTCAGACGGGAAGCATACTCGTGTTCGCTAATAGTGAGAGGGGGCAAATTTGGATCCGACTGGCAGAATTGCATCCGAGAGCAGATGTCTTTGAAGTCCTGGTTCCTCCGCTCATACTCCTCCATGTGAGCTGCAAGGTGAGAATTCACAACGCACACGCTAGTGTTATGGAATTTAAACCTTACGGCAACACCACCTTTGTTACCCTGAAAGATAAAGACAAAGGTGTTGGTCAGAAGCTTCTACACAACAGGTGAATCCAGAAATGAGTTACTAGCAGTGAACAAGCTAGAAGATGTTGAGGCAGACCATTTCATTCCATAGGAAGGAAAAGGCTGAAAACGTCAATTAGTGATAACTACTTTCATGAATTCAAATCAGTAACTCATGTGAGGGTTGCACACAGCAACAGAACACAGCAAGCAAGCACATGGAACTCAGTTTGTCATTCAGGAATTAGCTAATACAAAAGGAAATTAAAATCAGTCAGAGCGCTGGTCAGTTACTTCAGCAAGTCCCAAAACCTGTTTAGCAACAAACTGGATCTTTCAACACAAACCATAAAAAAAAATTGTAAATGGAGGAGGAAGCACATGGCTTAGCTGGTCAGAAATGCCTTTGACAAGTTATAACTGCAGGGTTCACAGAGACTACATTCAAAGGGCACTGACTTCATTCCAGTGGGGTGGAATGGCGAGAGGCCGGGAAACCCTCCTCAGGAAAACTGATCTGGATAGACATTTCTTCTACTCATGCTTCCTTGTTTTGGGCATAATCACAGCCAGCATCAAAATTGCACAAGAGCAAGGCCCCACACAGCCCAGCACATGCAATCAGGAAAAAAAAGCCTTCGGGGAAGATTCTCCCTCCAGGTCTTTGAGCCTTTGTGAGCACATGGCAATACTCTCTAGTGACACCCTGAGCTGGCACAGGGACAGGACTATGTGCTTCAAAAGGCAGCTGCATCCCTTCGCTGGAGGAATAACCCTACATCTAAGGCGAGGGGCTCTCCAGGGCTCTTCTAAATCTCCCCCCTTCTCATGCACGGTTGCCATTCTTACCATCCTCCCCATGATTCCAGTTCCCACAGTCTCAATTTCCACCTCAGAGATGTTCAAAGCGAGGTCTGCTTTCACATACAACAGAAGCATGATTCCCACAAGCCGCACAAGTTTCACCTGAAAAACAGATCCTGTTCCATTAAATACTAGACTGGGAGAGGTTTGATGAGAGAAGGCACATCGCCCCCAAGTCCAGAACACAGGTCACCAAAATACAGAAGAAGAAAAAGAGAGTTCCAGGCTCATCGAACGGACTAACTGGGCTGACAGTACACAGGCACTCCAGAGCGCAGCACAGGCAGGAGCCAGGGACCAACACCCCAGTAAACGAAGCTGAAGCCCAAAGCAAAACCTACAGCACAGGCAGAGCCCAGGGAAGGAGCTTCCCTTCAACAACAGCGACAAGAGACAAAGCAGACCTCGGGAGCAGGAGCCAAAACACAAGCAGTATTCCTACCAAGACACCTTCACAACTCATTCCACCGTGCCTTGCAAAGACAGATGTGGAAGAAGCTAAGACACTTGCTATTCTCTTCCCCCGAGATAGCAGGAGCATCCTTTATGCGTGGATGCCTATCTCTGTCCCCTGCCTCGGCGCCCTGCGCAGCACCACCACCTGCTTCACCGCCAGAGCTCTGCCGGCTGAGCAAAGCCTGCAGACAAGGAGCCTCTGGAAGACACAGCAACTGAGAGCAGGAAAAAGCAAAGGGAGAAGAGGCCCAAGTGGAAAATGATTCCACACTCAAACCTCCCCAAAAGCCACATTTACCTTTGCATATTTGGCATCTGGGTGAAGACTATCAGTTACAGCTTTAAACCATTCCTCTTCCTTCGGTGTGTCATTGAAAAAGAAGGCTTCTTTACTCAGATCAAGCTCCTGGAAACTGTGTTAGAGGAAGGAACCCATGGATGCATGCATTGTTTATAACTCTCCAGCTCTTTCCTCTGGGAAAGAACTAAATCAATTTATACTCACTAAATTTATAACTGAAAACTCAAATTCAGATATGCTGATTTTAGAGGTATGTTAAATGTAAAGCTAAACTACTGTTAGTATTAAATTGAGCGGCATTAAAGATTTTGTAACACTGCAGCACCAGAGAGTCCAAACACTACCAGCATGACAGCTCTTTCGGGCTACGCAAACACACGCTCTAAAGCTGGGCAATGGAGTAAGGCGCTGCAAACATTCCTCAGCTGTGGCATCTTGGCTGAACACCTCCATGCTACGGATTCACAAGCAAGCAACCCACAGTCACGGTTCGGAAGGACGGGCCAGAAAGAGGCACTCACCCCACGCAGTAAACGTCTGGAGGCTCAGCATCACATCTCAGCCAAGGCTGGAGGCTTTCTCTGGGCGACTGACCATTCACATTGTATGTCCCGACAAAAAACCTGCCAAGAAATTAACTAATTCCCAGAGCTGCAAATCGTAGAGCTGATGGAAATGCCACTGTTATTAACCCATGTACTTAATACTAGATGTAACTATTTAAGGGTAACATGTTTCCAGGGGGGAACTGGGAAAATGTGACAAAGTTTAAATCCCTAAAATGATTTAATTACAGTGGCATCTTTATAGACACATTTTACAGATGGATACACATTTTTATACACAGTATTAAACAAACAAACAAAAAAAAGACTAGCAGCTCGGAATGATAAATTCACAGCATGACGTGCATAAAAGCATTTCAACCACAGTAAATTTTGGTCCTAATTATATATTTCACCCAAGCTCTCATGAGCTTATTGGAACAACTACACGGATAAGTAGTGAACAGAAGCAGTGAGAGAGAAGGGCAGAGGTGCACAGAATTGATGCATTTCCAGACACAGTCTGAAATAACCACAGGAAGAAGTCATTTCAAAAAGGCCATTTTCTCAACAAGAACCATGAGGCAAGCCTTAACAGAGACACCAATGAAATTCTTCTCTGCTAATGCCTAAACAAGGAAAACAAGCTGTTCTGGAAAGACTTGATCATACTTTTCTACAAAATTTCCTATTTGCAAGGATACTAGATGAAATAATGAACAAGAGGTATTTTGACAGCTTATGCTAACTAACTTACTCCCCGCAAAAAAATAAGTTCTTCTCAGGAATGATTATTACCTGAAGCTCTGGATGTGCGTGTAGGAATCCTCCATTTGTACAAGCTGAGATTTAACAATAGTATCTCTTAGTCCAAAGTTTGGTTCTGATAAGATTGAAGCCTTGTTTGAAACCATTACGCTGGAGGACTGTACCATTTCAGTTTTCACTTCGGGTTTGAGTTTGCTTTGCCTGCAAATGAAAGCAAAACTGTGAGAGGAAACCCAGGATACACAGACACCCTAAACAGCTTATTTCTGCCACCAAGGACTTGATCTGCATTTATCCATCTGTTTCACTAAAGACAGATAATCAATGTTTGGGTTAAGCAAACAAGACTGAAATGAGCATTTCTTAGAACGGTTCAGATCTCGAGATAAAACCGGTTGAACTAACTGAAATAACAAACGTTTTTCACTAACCTGGTGCAGCCTGTTAATTCAGAGCAGGCCTTACTCGCACCTCGATGCTGATACAAAACCTGTCCACCTTTCCTGCTTACTGGAGCAAGGAGATGCAAATCTCACCTCCCGCTGCCTCTGCTCAGCCCTTCCGACCTCAGCAGAAGAATGAAAAACTGTGTTTGTTTTAAAAGCCCTCTGGTGGAAAACTTCCAGATCTGCCTAGAAGGGAGGCAGCACAGAGTGGGTGGAGGTAGAGGGGGTGTTGTTTATTATCTTGTGTCTCTGCAAACTCATTTTGCAACAGTAATAATGCCACAGCTTGGGAGCTCCCACAAGCAAGTGGATGGTATAAATTTAAGGTCAAAAACCTGCACACCAGTGCCAAGGACAGCACACAGCCGGACTTTGAAGGACATGCAGCAGGGTCCACAAAGTCCTGGGAACTGGAAAACGAAACTGTAACATTTTAAGACTGTATGTATGAGACAGGGTGGCCCTAAGCCAAACTTCTCTGAATTCAAAATAAACAACGCTAATGGGTCCTGTCCCACTCAACAGCAAAAATATGCCCAAATAGGGGACTAGGAGGACTGTCTGTGAGAGACTGCTGAAGTTTCCACTAAAGTTTTGACAGCGTGCTTATGCTGAATTTTTTTCTCTCCTAACTAGAATCTACAGATTCTCTTCTTAAAAAGTTGCCAACTTCTGCTCTCAAGCCCACCACCTCTGGGGATTGCAACCGACGGTCACCGGCAGATGGAACTAGATAACGCAGCCGCAAGATTGCTCGAGCACTGGTGAGCACAGACCTCACACGCCAGCACCAGAGAGACCAACTTCCCCACTCGGTTTCCAGCTGAAAACCAGGAAGCCCAGACAGAAAGCTCTCTGCACTTTCTTTTTCTTCCTCCAGACATCAAAGCATCAACAATTTGCCCGCTGCAGTTCATTCCATCCATGCACAATCACCCAGAGGTACTCAGAACTTTGGTGCTCTATAAATTTACTGTCACTATGCAGAGATCCTCTGTGGAGGGCAGGCATAGCTAAACTGGCAAAGAAACGTTGCCACCACTTTTGCTCCTCACTACGCCTTCCACGAAGAGCTGACGTGCACAATTCTTACTTCACCAAACCTACACAAGAAGTGACAGACATACCATACCTGGGAGCGCTTTTATCAGTGCTGTTGTGGCTCTGGTTCTGGCTAACTGCAAGCTTTCTTCCATTCTGTTTGGTGCCTTCAGAGCCAACCACTTCTGGAAAAAAACCAAAAAGTTTCACGTTAAACACAAAGTGTTCTTTAATTTATCAACACACTTATGCAAACACTGGCAAAAGTCTGTGAGCAGAATACAATTTAGATTTGTGAGGAGAAAAAAAAAGTGCCCCGCAGTCTCTCCTTCAGTTATCTGATAGATTTAGCTTGTTTTGACAGAAGTGTTCTGTGACGATGCAGCTTCCCCTCTCGAGGAAGTGTTGCCATGAGCGCGCCGTGCGGCCATGGAGAGCAGCAGAGCTGTGGCATGCTGCCTGCCCGCGGCTGGCGCAGGTTGCTGTTGGCTCCCCCTGACAGCTAAGCCAAACCAGGGCTTAGCGGCACAAAATCCAGGGCATTATCCTGGGAATCCAAAAAATGTACGCTAATAACAGGTTTTTCATTTCTGAAGCAAGACAGGAAGTAGAAAGAAAGTAATAAAAAGGCGGAAAAAAAAACCCCAACCCCCCAAAAACCCACACTACCATTTAAAGGGTTTCTACCTATCTGCAAATACAGAGCAAAGCACAAGCGTCTCCCCCCTCGAGGCAGAGCAGTAGAGTCACCATACGAACCCACTGTGCCGCAGCAGAAACAAGGGCCTCAATGCAAACTGCGCGTTCCTAAGAAAAACCCAGGGCGGCTGCCATGCAAATACAGCTAAATACAGGTATGACACTAAACACATCACACTATGTTAGCAAAATTTACCAGTCTTTCAGCATTTTGTTTCAGTTATGATATTCTGCTCCTACAAGTGGCAAAATGACAGTTAAAAAAGAGGATTCTGCATGGGGGTTTCCCTTTAAGAGGCACAAACAGCAATCTCAAGATTATGCTACTTAACACACAAATCTAATGATGATATAGAAATTGTTCGTAAGATTATAAGGTTCTAGTCATTCAGCTGAATTTCTCCTTCAGTGAACACAATCCAAAAAAATCAAAGTGTCATTGCTGTCATAGTACATTCTCCAGGACAAGAGCGCAAACCAGAAATAGAACTTGAAGTACTTTACCTAAGCACTCAGAATACAAACAAGCTGACGAGAAGTGGCCATATTCTCAGCTTGGAAAACCTCTTCTGCCCAAGAGCCCTCTGAGAATAAAGACTGTGTAAGAGGATTTATCAGAGGCTGGTTGCAGAAGGGCACGTGACTCAAACCTCATTACAGACCACACAGCCAAAGTCACGTAGAATTGAACAGGAGCACAGGCAGTTCGGAGATGCACTGCGACGCGTGCTCTCGGTAAGCTGCGACGGAGCCATAAATTTTCTCCATAGGCATTTAGTACTTAATCAGTGCTGCTGAGCCTCTGCAAGTCCTCCCGATAAAGACTGTGCAATGTATCTTGACAGTGACAAGAACCAACTTGAACTTTCCCTTTAACAGACAACTCTTACTTTTGTAACAGGAAGGGAGCAGAAGTTCAGGCTTTATTACCCGTATAGGACAGTGCCGCTCACCAGCACCCAGAAGGCATCAGTGCCAGAATGGCAGGACTTGTGTGCCGGCTCCATGCTGCTGACACAGCTGCTACGTGATCCAAAGATCACAGTCATCTATTACACCTTTGCATTCCAACCTCGTTAGCAGAAATCAGTTTCAGATAGGATTCTCCTAAGAGAGAGATTAGCCCTGGAAAAGGGCTGTTTCCTTCCAATAAATTATATCTAGATACAGAGTGCTCTAGCCAGAGGGATCTGTAAGTTAGCAATCTGAAGTGGAATATTTTAGCCAGATAATGACCTTGTTCAATAATTGAACTGGACACAGAAATAAAAAGCTGTGTGCAGAGATTGCAGAACAGCAGAACATGTATGGCCTGAATCAGGATTTGCAGTTAAAAGGAGATTTAAGCAGTGATAAAGATGTTCTTGTTAAAAATGTGCAGTGACATTATTGTACTGTTCTACAGCAGGAAAACGTATCGTATCTTCTGGATAAAGTAGGATCCCTGCTTAGTGTTCAAAAGGGAGAATTAAATCAGCCTTGCCATTAGTTAGATGAGGCTTAGCCAGTCAGCTCTTTACTTAATTGAAGTGTAAGCAACAGTCCATGTGGGACTGCGCTACTCCGGGCTGGGGGTAAATAAGATTGTTCTTTTCAGGGTTCCAAACGAAGCAACACAGCAGTTGTGACTATGACTGCAGACGCTCACACACGTAGGATTTTAGGCAGTGGTTTTAACCAAAATTGTGAACTTAAACCATAGAAGGTAAAGCACATTTAAAGCATATTTAAATCCCTTTATAGATGCTCTCATTCGTTAGCCAGCCTTAATTCACAGAAAATATAATGAACTAATATCACTTTACTAGCAAATGGCAGCATTTACCCAGTATTTAAATGTGCTTTGATTTGCATATGAAAGTTGCTAACTCGGTATACATATTCATTTAAGGACAGAATGAGTTACAGCTATTCCTGGAAAACAGCAGACAAAGCCTCATTCTGTATCAATTTATGTTCCAGAAGACCCCAAGTGATGGCAAAGAGAATTTTCTTCTGCTAATACAAGGGAAGAAAAAAAAAAAAATCCCCAGACTCCTCTGATGCAAGAAAAACACAATGAAGCCTTGAAATGGCAACTTTGTCTAAGCTCAAAGGTGTGACTTGATAGAACTACTTCCCAAGGAGCTTACCCTTCAAAAAGCGTTACTGTGCCCCAGATACAACAAAACCACACCAACAAAGGAGCCAGGGTTGCGTTTCACTGGTCGTGTTTTTCCTCCTAAACACAGATATGCCCATGTCTGTCCCAGTGAGTTCTACGCTACCAGTTAAAACACCGCATCTGAGGGGGTGTTCCCGGACCCCCACCTCGGCTCACCCCGTGCTGCGCCGCTGCTGCAGTTACAAAGTTCATCCCTTCTTTTCTTTTTTTTTTTTTTTTTAATGCGCTACTAATAAATTTAGACATAAACCCAAGGAACGCCAGCAATGCCACACGGCGCCCTCGCGAGTCGAGAGGAGCCCGGCCCCAACGAAGGTGGGTAAACTGGAAATGGTGCAATCCAGATGTGGAATCCCACACGGACCTCCCGGAACTGTTTCGGCCCCCGGCACCTCCTCACTCGGCCCCTCTGCGAAGAAGGGAACGGCCCCGGCGCCGGGGGGGGGCGCGGGACGAGGCACCTCCAGCAAGCGCC